CATTTGTTTGGAAATTAGGGTTTACAGTTTGTATAGCGGCGCCGCTCCTCTCATCTTCGTCCTCTTCGTCTCTCTCAAACCCATGGGGTTCTAATTCCTACCTCCAAGCTCCAGGCTACCAGAATGTTGCCTCCATCCTCTCCTCTTCACGACGGTATGAGGCAGTGGTTTAGAAGGTATCGTTTTCGTTCTTGACGCGTTTTTTACAGTTTCTTGTACATTTATTTCTTGCATGTTTTCAATCTTATGGTTTCTTTTTATGTTTATGCGTAGTATGAGTTTGAAGGACATACCTTGAGCGTTTTGCTCTGTAAGGCGGTGGAGAGAGAGGGCTTGGAACGGCGGCGCTCTCAGGTGGCCAAGGCGGAGGGAAGATGATGACAAGAGTTACTAGCTCACCTTTCCGGTATCTCTGTATCTTTCTCTTTGAATCGTTTGATGATGATTCTGTTCTGAAAACTTGTTTCTGAATTGATATGTTTTTTGTTGGCTACTGATTCGTTGATGATGATGAATTCTGAGACTATGTTGATTGGATTTTCGTTGTTGTTTGATGATGACTTCGTTTCTGAAAACTTGTTTCCTCTTTTTTCTCTTCTGGACTTCTTCCTCTTCTTTGAGTGTTGGCTTTTGATGATGAACTTTGTTTGTTCTGAGATTGACTGTTGTTGTTGCTTGGTAATGATGATCTTGTTCTAAAAATAGCTTCTGAATCTTTTGCTTATTTCTTTTTGTTGATTCGATGAAACTAAACTGTGTTTGCAGTTTTGGAAGCAAGCTTGAGTGTTTGTTTCATGTTTTGGAAATTGCAGATTTGTTTTGGGTTTGTAAGTTTGACTTGCAGGTTTTTTGTTGTTTTGAGCTTGTAGTTGGTAAGGCAGGCCTGAATGTTAGTACAGGCAGGCTTGTAACTTTGTATTTTGCTTGATGGTTTTAGTTTTGGATAAACTTTGAACTTGTTTGGATTTTTATAGCAGTTTTGCTTCTGGTGTTTGAGTTTGGTTTTGAAAGCAGGCTTGAAGGCTTGTGTTTGACAGGTCATGCAGTTTCAACAGGTTTTAGTGTTTGAGGCAGTTTTGCAGATTTGCACTTTGTTACTCATGTTTTTGATTTTGGAGGCTTAGCTTGGTGTTTTAACTTGCAGTTATGTAGGTTGAGTTGGGGGTAGTTTTGTAGGTTTGAGTTTTGGCCTGTGTGCTTTCAGTTTTGACAAGTTTGGATGGTTTTGAGTTTCGCAGGCTTGAGTTTTTAACACAGGTTTGTGTGATTTGTGAGGCAGGCCTGGATGTTTGTTGAGCTTGGCTTGATGCAGTTTAACAGGTTTTAGGTTTCAGAAACAGGTTTGTGAGTTTGGAGGTTTTTTGTGTTTGTAAGGCAGACATGGGTTTGCTTGTTGAAGGCAGGCTTGAAGGTCTTGAGCTTATGCAGATTTTCTTTTTTCTTGTTTAGTAAGGTAGGCTATGTATATTTTAAGCTTGCAGTTTTTGCTCTCTTCTTGTCCTTCTGTTGGACTGTTAGACTATTGTATATTTTCTTTTGTTCCTCTTATCTGCCTTTTACAGCCTGCCAAAACTGCAAACTGCAAAACCTATTCACTAGGTTCTCTCTTTCCTCTCTCTCTCTCTCTCTCCATAAGCATTTTTAATTGCTTATTTATCTTTTTATTTCTGAAAAATTGGGCTGTCTAGGAAATGATGAAAAAGCATCTTTGACAAGTTTTTACTTGTCAAACAAATTTCTTCCTGTTGTCTTGCCTTTTGTCTGTTGTATTGCTGTTTTCATGCTGCATTACCATTTTTATCAAATCTGTCTTATAACTTGGTTTTGGGCAATTTTGTACTGTAGCTGAATATGAGACTTTACTTGCTGCTGAGTTTATTCCTTTGCTTGACTTACCCTGGCAGTTTTGGCGCCTATTTGCCTCTTTGAACTTGTAATACAGTTTGGCTTGGTTAATGTAGCTTGGAACTTTTTGTAATTCAGTTTGCTTGGTTAATGCAGTTTGAAACTTTTTGTACTTGACCCATGTTTTTGCATTGAGTTTGACATGCTTGCATTTATATTTTATTTTTTTCTCTATGAACCGAGAAGAGTGATCTTCTTGTGATTTGCATGGAGAAAAATAAAGCGTGATGAAAAATAGGCAATCTGATTCTAGACGGCCAATTTTAATGATGATTTTTTTCTTTTCATTTAAAAATAATCTTGTACTGGTTTTCTTTTCTTCTTTTTTCAGGTAGGTACCAGTTGAATAATGGAAGAAACAGTAGAAGATCAACGATTTCAAGAGATTTAGGCTTTTTAAATTTATTTTCTTTTCATTTATTGTAAAAAATATTATTGTAAACACTGTAAATTATAAATTTACAATATTCGAATAACATTTGTAACAATATTTGAAATAAATAAATAAAAAGTCTTTGTCAAATAAAAATTTCCTACTGTCAAATATTCCATTCTTTCCCTTGTATTGTCTATTTAATTATTTAAGTCTCTTATATTAAAATAACTGGGAATGTATCCCAATAACTTTAATCCAGATGAAATAAATAATCAATAAACTTTGTCGTCTCGCAACCTTGCATTAATCATCATACGCCTGGCATTTCAATTAACCATGCTTTAAATAGTTAATCAAACAAGTGTTCCATACACTTTTCACTCCACTGATCAAACTAATGCCTCAAAGTTTCAAACAAAGCCTCAGCTCCTATCCCAGATATTTAGGTTTTTTTTTTAGAAACAACCAGTAATCTTGAACAAGCATGACACTAATGTAACAATTAACTGAATATCTGAGGATTCAGTTCTTTCTGAGAAATGCGAGCGAAAACCCCTATTTCTGGATTGATTGATAAAGAAAAGTTTGTTTGACCGATTCTTGAGCCAATCTAAAAAATCAGAGAAAACCCTGGGGTTGTGATTTCTTGTGAAAAATGGAGGGCAAATTTTGGGGTATAACAGGGGGCATCGGTTTTGGAGTGTTCCAAAGAGGTGGCGATGAAACGGTTGAGCTAGTACATTCCATTCTTTTCGAGGCACACAGAATGCTTTGGGTTACCGTCGACAGAGGAAGAGCCATGAGATTAGGATTAGGCATACTCAATAGACTATACTTTTGATTGTATTTTGTTTAATATTCGTTTTTATTAATCGTTGAAACAAATAACGACGATGCTATTTGAATTAAAATTAGTTTGGATTGAAAACATCACAATATTATTAAACTGGTTCTGGAAAAAAAAATAATTCAGAGATATATATCCAAATTTACTCCAAAATAATTTGAATATACATCTCTGAAATTATTTCTCATAGAAATTGAATGACTGTTTGATTTTATAAGAATATATAGTGACTTCGAACTTACATCTCCGAATTTATCTTAAGAATGTAATCGAAGATGTATTTCCAAATTAAATTTTACTAAAATATAATATTTGATTTATTCGGAGATACATATTCAAATTCATCCAAAAACATTTGTGAATTTAAAAAAAAAAATACGTCCTCCTAAGTGGACTATATATTCGGCCCATTCTACCCCTCTAAAATTTCTTGATGATAGCTTAATTTGGCGTTTAAAAACCGTATCTAACTAAAAATACGCTGTGTATTTGATGTGAAAATTCACCTTATAGGGGTATTATGTACATACTCCGATGTCCTGTCAAAAAAAATGTACATACTCCGATGTAGTAAGAATATGGGATCGAGAGATTTCCAATTTCATAGAATGGCAGTGAGCCAGTGAGTGAGAAAAAATTTCTAGTAGGTAGTAGGTACAGTACCACCGATTCTTTGAACAAGTGAAATGGTTAAAATGGCACGTATAACTAGGTATCTCTTCCTTCCATTAATACATTCTCACCTATATCTTCAACTATGAAGCTCTTCTCAGCGCTCAACAACACAAAATTGATAGTGGTGGGTGGATGGTGGATGGCAATACATACATACCAATACATTTCTATTGAAATGCGTAATTCTTCATGCCCATATCTCTTTGCATTTACACCCTCTTTCAATGCACACGCAAACATTAATACTCAATCTACTTAACAATGATTTATTTTATAAAAATATTCCTTTATATTAAAAAACCTAATACTAATAAGATTATTAATCCCTACAATTTTTTTATTATTATTATTCTTTTTTTTTAAATGTATTAAATTATCAATTGTTTAATAATATCAATTAATTATTAATATTTTTATAATACACTTTTAAATACTTATTATTATAAGTTCCTCAATTCTTTAAACTTATATTTACATATTAATATTGAATGAATTTTTGTAAATTTCTTCATCACTTTTTTTCATACATTAAATAATTATATTTTCAGATGAACGTTTTATAATAAAAAAGCAGATAGAGAAAAATTAAGAAAAAATATTTGAATATAAATTATATATATATATATATATATATATATATATATATATATATATATATATATATATATATATATATATATATATATATATATATATATATATATATATATATATATATATATATATATATATATATATATATATATATATATATATATTCTTTTATTATTCTTATTATATACGAAAATTAATTTTTTATATTTAATAAATATTTAACACGTTTAATTTATATATAATTAAATAAATAAATTTTGAATCAATAAAATTTTAAATTGTATATTAGTAAATTGAAGAAGTGTTTTATACTTACCTAAATAGTTTCGTTTTATATTTTTTATACGTACATGATGATTAGAACTATAAAGTCATATGATTGTGAGATTTAGGTTAGAATTCTAGTGTTAATGTCCCATTTAACAATATAAATTTTTATAAGTTGGAGTAGGATTTGCAAACTCATTTTATATATTTATTAATAATTCTATTTTTGAAATAGTATTGTATGTATGTTGTTTATATTTGAGATGGAACAAGTATATATACATAGAAGGCTTTAGTTTGACAAGGTAAAATAAGTAGAAACAGATTGAATGAAAAATGAAAGTAATTTTAACACTGGTAACACTTATTCTCCTCTTTCATTACTCTCTTACTGAAAGTCATGAACAACAACGCAAACACCAAAACAAAGAAGAAGAAGAAGAATTTAGAGTACAAAGAAGAGTCAGAGGAAGAAGAAGTTCAAGGTGCGACCCATTTTACCAATATCTATATGGAAAGTGTGGACAATGGCCATTCCCAACATTTCCTTGGTTAATTCCACCTCCCATTCATTATTTTCCTCGCCCCCCACCATTAGTTCCATCACCGCCTTTGATAATCCCACCGCCAATGCCGCCTTTGATTTCTTCTCCACCACCACCTCCATGGTGGTACTCAGTATCATCATCACCACCTCCTCCTCCTGATCCTATACCGTGGTATATTACAGCTCCACCGCCGCCACCTCCGGAGCCTATACCATGGTATATTACAGCTCCACCACCGCCACCTCCAGAGCCTATACCATGGTATATTACAGCTCCACCACCACCTCAGCCTTAGCTTCGGTCCTCTTGTACCAATCCCAACGCCGTAACTGAGTCCAACTAGTACTCCAACTACAAAAAGTGTTTACTTTGTTTTATGTCTAATTGCTTATGTATCTCTCCGATATGATTAAGTTCTAAAACTTCTCATCGTCTCTTGCTTTTTACAAATGCTTATTTACACTTCTATTTGTTTTTCTAAAGCATGATTACTGCCTTTGTTGTCATGCCTTCACTATAACTTCAAAATTTGAGATATTACTTTGTTAGCACAATTTTCCATTTTGAAAATATTTTCATATAGTATACATGTACCGGAGATATTAGAATTTTTTTTCTTTCAAAATAACCAACATTTCCAACTTAATTTCCAAAACAACCATCATTCTCAACTACTTATATATATATATATCAAACTACACATGTTTCAAACCAAAAAAAAAAAGTACCTTATGTTATGGATTTGTGAAGGGGCGTCAGACTAATTAACTCCGTTGGCACCTACGTGTACTTGTTATATGCATGATCGCCAATGTGTATTGATGAATCTTTTATTTTTTTTAATTAAATTTACAATTAAATAATAATAAGAAAATTGAAAAATGAAAATATTAAAAATTATTTAATTTAAATAGAATTAAATGGGAAAAATTTTGTACACATATTTTAACAACTCGATTGATTATAATGGCTACTAGTGTTACACCCCCGCAATGTCCTTTGTCGTTGAGGTTTCCCAGGATTCAACTGAAGTGTTTGGTGTGAGGTCTCCAAGACATCAATATCATCCATCCATACTCGCATCTCTTCACAAGTTAGTTGGGATGCGTTGATGTAATCGAGTTTGATGTCTATGTCGTTGTAGTTTGGTCGTATTGGTTGAGTTACAGGTGGACGAACTGATCGATTGAATTGGGACATTGATTTATTTTTTAAACGATGCACTGATTGTCATGGGGTTTAGTAGGCATGTGTTGGTGAGCGCTTTGATGGTGTGATGTTTGGGTGTATGTTGGTTGGATGTTATGGTAGAAGTGGTGGTATCATATGCCTCATAGGTGTTATGGTGGTGTACCAATAATGTGAAAATAATTTATTTAGAGTTATTTATATTATAAAGTAAGAAAATGGAAATAATATTTTAAACTTACTTTATCGCGTAGGGGAATATGAAGTCGTTGTCATTGACGGGGGCTAGGGACGACATTCTCGACTTAGCCCATGCTTGGAGCAAAAGAGTACACGAATAAAATGAACAAGTATCTTTATGTGCGTTTTAACACAAAGAACTATATAGATAGGACAAAATGGTTGAACTCTAACTATATGTTCTTATTTTATATGTCTCTTAACAAAGATAAATACATAATATTTACAGTATTACCAGCAATTTCAGAAAATAAAAAATGACCAAATAATATCGTAATATTACATCTAATTTTAATTATGTTTTACATCCTCAATCGAATTTTCCTTTAATACCAACTTTCTATAATAATTTTTAAGGTACCTTAGATAAATACCTTGCCCCTTAGCCTCTACGTCAAATAAATCGGCATCCAAAAGTTCCTCGCATATTGCATTGTCTAGGTTAACTTGTCCATTAACAACCTTACCTTCGATACTTAGACCCAACAACATGTACAAGTCGTGTGGGATACATTCACCGATTATGAGATAAAAAATGTGTGTTTCGGGTCTCTGTCTTTCTAGTAATGCGGGGATACATTTATAATCAATAGAGTAGAAAAATGTGTTAAGCAGATTACATAAATACTATTCTATCAACATGTTGTGTAGAATATATTCATGTACACGACGACGAAATCTCTTCAGATTCTAAAAAAACATCATACATAAGTTTACATTTAAAATTTTCATACATAAGTGATTCTTGCAAAACAAAAACTTGCAAAATTTGCAATGTTGTTGATGGCTTCTCTATGTGTTTATCCCATGGTTAAAAGCGTTATTTTAGAAAAGTATAGTGTTATATTTTTCCTGGATCCTAAAGAGGAGTAGCTTACAAGGAATTCCATTAAGGAGGTGAGAGATGAGGCGCCCAACGCAACTACCGTCCGCCCGAAATGGTCCATAAGGTCGCCCAAAATGGGCCAAAAGGTCACTCAGATGCAGAAATTCAGCCTACCCGATTGGGCTCCCATTGTCCTAAATGCCTAGTAGACGTGGGTGGTGACATGGATCCACAATGACGAACTAAAGAGAGTCAATCAAGAGGGAGAACCACTTCCTCCATGGTTCTAGGAAGACTGAGTCTTCCTTTGACCTCTTCCTTGGTCACGAAGGTGGGGCATAACCGTCCACTAACTTAATAACTCAGACCCAATAGAGCCTCTATAAATACCTCTCCCCAAGGGGATTGAGGGACATTTTATTACACTAAAAAAATCATAGTACTGAGATACTTTCAAGTCATACACATCTTCTACTACCTAAAAGAGCATCACTCTCCCTGCAACCATAACACCCTATTAACCTAACTGTCCACCTGCAATCAAGCAGCGACGGCGGCATGCATGACCTCTTACCTCACATGAGTTGATCTCTTAAAAACCTAAAAAAACCATTACACAAGGCGTATTACCGCCATGATCAAGCCCTCAATATTAAAACAAGTTATATACACACTAAGGCCTCTGAGTCTCCCTACAGTCGCAGGGGGGAAATGCACACCTGTACTTTTTTACCAGTACAAAAGTGTGTGTTTGTTGATGATGAAAATGTGTTTGTTAAAGATGATGATGATTAAGGAAAGTGTAGTATTTATAGTGAATTGAGTAAGAGTGTAATTTATGGTTAATGTAGTTGAGAGTTGGGGTTGGATGGTTGGTTGTTACATGTTAAATGCAAAAATTCAATTCTGCAGCTTGTAAAAAGCAATGTGTCAATACCTATTGACACATGTGTATTGTTTTCTACATAGGTGCCATCTGAAGTGGTGCATGCAGTGATAGGGTGGCAGCATGACAAGGTGTAATGTGGCATGGTGCAATCTGTATGCATGCATAAAGCAAGTCACCAGTTGGACTGGCACTTATGTGCTTTTTAAAGAATGCGTCAGTATGTATGGTGCCCATGGCTTTTTTCCCATGCATATTTAATCTATTTATCCTCTTCCAAATCTATTCTAAACACATATCAAAGATCAATCTCTTACTACTCTCAAACCAAAATACACACGAAATGACTTCTGCAACAAAATACATTATCAATGCTCACATCAATGGTGAGACATATGACTCTGAAATATCTGGTTTTAATTTTGAAGTGTCGATATTACCTGGTTTATAATAAATAGAACATAAAATTTCTCACATTTCAAAAAGAGAATATAGACACATTTCAGTGTTAAGGAGACAATGAACCATAATGAGGGGAGGCCAATGGGATACTTTCAGGTCAAACTAACTAGAGGTTAGTGCGACTGCAGAAAGTTTCAAGCCTTTCGTATGCCTTGCTCCCATGTTATTGCGACATGTTCATATGCTCTCTATGACGCTTCTAAGCATATATCCTTCGTTTACAAAGTCATAAATGTATTTAGTGTGTACAACAATAGCTTCCTGATGGTAGTAAAGGAGGAATATTGACCTACATATCAAGGGGACATAATTTGGCACAACCAAAATATGTGAAGGAATAAAAAGGGTCGCCCTAACATCACACATATTAGATTCGAAATGGATATGGTTGACAAAATTGAAAGCTTATGTGGTATATATCGTCAACCTTGACAAACATGGAAACTTTGTCTCAATCTTGGGAAAAAAAAACTCCATAAAATAATCATTTTATGGCCTCTTAGATATGTAAGTTTCTTTTGTAACGAAAGAACTTAATATTGAATACAAATTTCGGTTACAACAAAACAAACACAAACACGCCTAAAACAACAACTCAGAGAACAAATAAAAGAACTTAACACTATAACATATCTAAGAGATTTCAACCATCAAAACAATATCATCTAATCCATACATCATAACATAAACATCACTGTCAATTTTAACTGACTCCAACACACGTTGTGCTTCGTTATTCTCATACATAGTTGAGAAGACCGAGACAAGCCTATCCATTTTTTCTAATTTTTCACCATCTTTAATATCTTCATTAACCAACAAATCAAACTCCTCTCAAGATGCTCGAAACACTGGATGTTCCAAAAACACACCTTCAATATAGGCTTGAGAATCAAATAACAAACATACCAATTTCTTTTTATAATCGTGTTAGAAAAATGCAGAAAAACTTAAGAAGAAAGTGAGAAAAGGTGTGAAAATGACGGGAAATGAATGACCTATTTATAAAAAATGGAAATATACATAGAAAAAAACCCCTTGGCACGTGCTCTTTGTCTTAAAACATTGGTGCCACTTAGACCGACATATTGGTGGTGCAATCGCCACTTTGACTGACGTATTGATTCAATTTTGAGAGCTGTTGGCAATTGATCTAACACATAGTCTTCGCTGTAAAGTTTTTTTTATTTGAAACATGGATAATTTGGTATTTATTTGAGAAAGATGGTTATTTAAAAAATTAAATTGAAAAAAATTAGTAATTTAAAAAAAATTCGTAATATTAGGCATTATAAACGTAATTTATAATATATAATAGTACTTTCTAGTATATAAATGGAACCATTTCGATCTAGATAAAGTAGTCAAATGTAAGTTTAATTTTTCTTGGAAAAAATAAAAGATATATGATAAGCTGATTTATATCTAATGAGCTTATAGTAGATATTGATAACTTATAATCTATATTACGTTTAACAATTTCTTTTAAAATTAAAATAATTGGAATAAAATTGAGATACTTTGAATAAAATTGAGAGAAAAGTTAATAAGTTATTGTCAAACCCTATTTTTTATTCCTAAGATTTCACTTATTAATCATTTGTATTTCATCAACACTAGATCTGACGTTCTAGCATAGCAGTCACATGATGGATCTCACAGCTTGCTCCACACTGAACCACACGCTGGCTAT